TTATCCCTGCGTGCAGCTGGCTTCCCGCGAGGATCGGCATCAGAAGCGTCAGCAACGTTCTGCATCTTTTTGCAGCCGCTGTGACGCCAGAGCTCTTCCAGCCCCAAAATCTTTGGGGCTCCACCTGTTTCTCTGAGGCGGAACGCTGCTGCTCGCCCCCTTCCCTGGAAAGCCAAAGCCACGTGCGAGTTGTGGGTGGTTTCGAGGTCATTCAGTGCTGCCTCTGCCAGAGACGCTGCGCTGTGCTGCCTGCTCCCGGCTCTCCTTCCTGGAGCAACTGGGACAGCCCTTGGGCAGAGCCAGCCGGACCAGTGATGTGCAGGGAAAGGGCTGCAAGAGCCCAAGCAACCCCTTCCCTCAGGAAGAAATTCTTTGCTGTGCGGGCGGTGATCCCCTGGGGCAGGTTGCCCCGAGAAGCTGTGGCTGCCCCATCCCTGGAGGTGTTCAAGGCCAGGTTGGACGGGGCTTGGGGCAACCTGGGCTGGGGGGAGGTGGCCCTGCCCAGGGCAGCGGGTGGACTGGATGAGCTTTAAGGTCCCTTCCAGCCCAAACCAGTCTGTGATTCTGTGAGTCTGGGGGTATCTGCCGCCCACGTGCTCACAGAGCTGATGGGGGATGTTATTCACCTGACCCACAGTGTTTGAAAAAAGGCAAAGCCAGGAAAAATACATACTTAGCAAGGCTGGGTGCCCGTGGTCAGAGCCTCCTGGGGCTGGGGACCACCGTGCTGCCACATCAACCTCACCTCCTGCGCCCACAGAGTGGCCCTTTCACGGACCCCAACCCGGAGAGGCCGGGCAGGGTGGTGCGAGGCTGTGCACTGGTGGGCTGAGCATCCATACATAGGCTGTACATCCATACATAGGCTGAGCATCCATACATAGGCTGTACATCCATACATAGGCTGTGCATCCATACATAGGCTGTGCATCGATACACAGGCTGTACATCGATGGGCCGTACATCCATATGTAGGCTGTACATCAATACATAAGCTGTACATTAATACATAGGCTGTACATCCATATGTGGGCTGTACATCCATACGTAGGCTGTGCATCGCTGCCTGTCCCCGCGCTGTTTGTGCAGTGCGTGGCACAGCAAAGTCCTGGGCCGGGTCGGGAGGTGACAGCAGTGCAGAGGACAGCCCGTCCAGCTGCTGCGTGTGCAGGCTGCAGCTCACCGCACGGATGGAAACTGCTGGCAGGTCTTTTTTCGAACAGGTCAGCATCCTCTCTGCTCTGCAGAAATGTGTCTGCTGACTGTGCCAAGCGGCGTTTGGCAGCCAGAGCCACCGGTGTGACTGACAAAGTCAGGTTATCTCCTCGGCGTTTGATTTGCGGCCAGCGTTGCTGCCAAGCTGGGTTGGGTGCCAAGCTGGAAAATGCCACTCGAGGCATTTTCTTAATTGCTCATCGTAAACAGCAAGTGGAAGCAGGCTCTGCTCTGCGCTGCTCTGGTATCTTCCTGCCCCAGGGCCCTGCAGGTCAGGAGCTCCGCAGCCGGCGCTGGTGCTGCTCCTGCTGATCCCGTCCTCTCCTTCCTCCGGGCGGTGGGTGGGAGCAGGGGGTTCCTCTCTGGGCACAGTGCGTGCGTGCGCAGCCTCCACAATGGAAGGATGCTGCTGATTTCCTCTGCTCATGCGCCCCAGTTCCTTCGCCTAACAAGTGGGGGGGCTGTAGAAGTCAGTCTGGACCCCGTTCTTCGCCCGGTGCAGCTCCTTCCCCGCTGCAGTGGCGGTGGCTCGCTCTGCCGCTGCCACCCGTGCCAGCTGCTGCTCCCGCATCACTCGCGCTTCTGTCGTCTCTGTGTGGTCCCTGGCAGAGCCCCGGTGGCCATCAGCCGTTTTGAAAGGCGGCGATGCCGTCGCTCTCCTGGGGCAGCGCGGATTCGGGCAGCGGCTGGCGGGAAGGGGGAGAGGGAGGAGGAGGAGGAGTTCAGGCTGCAGCGAGCGGTGCTGCAGAGCGGCTCACGCCGTGACACACACTGAAGATCTCCTTATGTAAAATTCATCTGCAGAAATCAGCTCTGCCGCTTCAGATGGTGGGAAGGAGCTCTGCTCGTCTCTGCTCGCAGCAGGCGTAGGCGACAGGATGTTGAGGTTCTGCTTTTGCTGCAGCCTCTTGGTTTTTGGCTAAGCTTTGCGAAGTGTCACTTAGCCTCCTCTTGCTCGATGTCCTCTCTCGGGCAGCAGGGAGGTTTGCAGGGTCCTTGTCCCCGGCCCCTGGAGATGTGGAGGGCAGCGCCGTGCCCGGGGTGTTATCCCAGGGTCTGGATGCGTGAGCTGCCTCTGCCCCGACCTGCGGTGGGAACCGGCAGCACCTTTGCTCTCGCTGAACCAGAGGTATCTTTGGGGAAGTCTGGAAACGTTGTATAAGGGGATAAGAGATTTTCTTTAACAGAGGCCAGACGGTAAGAGCGTGCAGCAATGACACATATATTTAATAAGGACACCAACAGATGGAAGCTTGGAAGAAAGGATCCCTGTAGGGAGGTTATTTGAGATGCTCCGCAGTGAGGAATGAGCGCTTTGAAGTGTCTGATAGCGGCTGGTGTTAGAGGTAGCCAGACCAGATGGACGGGTCTGCTCTGACCCAGAGGCCTCTCTGCCCATG